CCAATTTTGCATTTAATATTTGTCATGATTAAGCAGTTTTGTTACATAAAATTTCTAGCATAAGTGTAATTCGGCTAGTAGATTGTTGGAAAAAGTGTTCAGAAAATAAAAAGAAAAGAAACACGTCTTTACTTCGTGAAGACAAAATGGCGGCGAAAAAAAAAAATAGAGGGTTGCTGTAACAGAGTTGGTCGCCAAAAAATCACCAAGTTACCATAATCCAAAGATCAACCAAAATATCCAAAAACTTTTACCTCTAAATTATCTATTATAAACGTCACCAACAAATTTATAATGCAAACATTAAAAATTGTTGCAAATACTTAGTGCAAATATTTAAATTATTTCCATGCACGTTTACTTCCACTGAAACGTATAACAAATTGCTACAAACATATAATTCACAAAATAACTATCATTTAATTAAAATACAATTAAACCATGTACACGTCGACTTATTTTTACTTAAAAAAAATCCCAGAATTGCACGAAAATGGCATTGCGCACACTCTTCACTATATCCATGTACACTGCTTTTTTCTCATAAATTAGAAAAATTTCACGAAAATGCATGAAAATTTTGTGAATCTTTAAATCAGGTAAAAAGGACGGTTTAATCCTAGTATCCGGTGCACACGGGATTTTGCTACTTTTGGCGACTTTATGATGAGCAGTAAAAACGCGACATATACGATGAGTAGTAAACAGGTCATTCAAAGAATATACACTGGTGTGCAAAAATTAAGGACGAGACGGTTTTTTCAATATAACTTTGTACAAAAGCTTTCCAAATCAACACATTTAATACCGTAAGATCCCCAATACGTAAGGACATGAGTAACGTAAGCAACACTTACTAAAAGAGAAATCAGAGGGATAAAAAGAAGCTTTATTGAAAAAGTAGCATGGAGCGCAATGCGACTGAAGGCCAAAACATCTCTGTGATAGGTGTCCAGCAAGAAACATCCAGTCTTTAATAGGAGATATGATCTCCCCTGACTGCTAGGCAGGTTTCACAGCGTCTGCCCATGCTGAGAATGAGGGTGTCAATGAGTTGTTGAGGCATTGCTGCCCATTCGCCTTGCAGTGCCAATCGAAGCTCCGGAATCGTTACTGGTGGTACGGTCGAGCTGCCAAGCATCTGCCTAGAAAATCCCATGCATGCTCGATGGGATTGAGATCCGGAGATCGTGCCGGCCAATCCATACGTTCAATATCCTCACTCTCTAAGAGCTGTTCGGTAGCTACTGTGCGATGACATGGTGCATTGTCGTCCATGAAAAGGAACTGCGAACCCATAGCGCCTCTAAAAAGACGCACATATGGAAGAAGAATCTCGTTACAATAACGGGTCCTGTTGACTGAACCTGCGTCGAAGATGTGAAGGTCTGTACGACTACCAAGCATGACGCCTGTCCAAACGAGAACACCGCCACCTCCATACCTGTCCCTTTCAATGATGTTCGAGGGATGATTGCGGCTTCCCCGCTCTCTCCAGATGAGTATGCGATGAGAATCGCTACTCGGACTGAATCTGCTCTCATCTGTAAAGAGTACTCATCCCCATTCATTGTCTCTCCAATTCCGGTGTTCCCGGCACCACAGAGAACGCCTTCTCCGATGGGCAGGTATTAGAGGTACACACCGTACAGAGCGTCGTGCAAAGAGACCACCACCGTGCAGTCTTCTGGCCATGGTAAAACGCAATATCGGTCGTCCAGTCGCCTGTGTCGTGTGTCTAGCGATTTCTCCCGCTGTCTGCCGCCTGTTTCTTCTGGCCTGTAAGGCAATATACCGGTCATCTGCGAGTGTGGTTCCTAGTGGACGACCACTACTAAACCCCCGGATAGCTGTTCCTGTAGTTTGAAATTGTCTCCAAAGTCGTGAAACGATGCTGTGAGCAATTCCGAACTCCGCAGCCACACTTGTCACACTGCGGCCTTCCTCCAACTTCCCAATGATTCGCCCTCGGGTAAAAGCATCCAGATGTCGTCTAATAGATTGATTATTCGCCATTTCTCGCTGAGGCAGCAACTCGGTGTGATTTTAACTGTTATACGGCATGCAATCTTTTTGCCAGAAATACTGATCTTACACCGACAACATGCTTTATACTACTCAAACATTCCCCCATTACGTCTACCTGCATATCTGCGCATGTGCTACCGTACATCACCTTCATTATCTCCTGATTGGTCTTTCTGTCCGCTCTGCCTCTTCGTTCAGGGGATATGCTAATTTTTCGACTTCGTTTTTAATTTATGCATACCAGTGTATATGGTTATACATAGTATATACTATATATATAGTGTATATACAATGTATATACACACATAGTATATAGTGTATAGTGTATAGTATATATATAGACGTTCTTCGGAACATTTTTTGGTGTTGGCAATAATTTTCAAAATCGCGCCAAGGCTGCACCGTATACTAGGATTTTACCAAAAGGACATATATGAAATTACCTGATCGCGAAAAAGTATATACCCTTTCCAAGGATGAAAATTTGCACGTATAAAATAAATAAAATATCCAAAAACTTTTCCCTCTAAATTATCTATTATAAACCTCACCTGCCAATTTATAACGCAAACATTAAAAATGGTTCCAAATACTTAGTGTCAAATATTTAAATTCTTTCCATGCACATTGACTTCTACTCAAACGTATTCTAAAATACTACAAACATATAACTCACAAAATCACGATCATTAAATTAAAAAACAGTACTTAAAATATAAATAAGCACATACATTAAATTAATAAAAATTAGCTTACAACCCTAATTACTTTAAACTAAATCATTGCTAATAACAATTTTCCAATAATACGATATTAATTTATTTACTCCTTACATTTAAAACAATGCATAAAAAAAATATCCTCAAATGATTAAAAATACTAACTTGCCTAATCTTCAACAGAATCTTGAGTGCATGGCGGATCACAAAATGTCCATTTTCACCAAATTTCCTGCACCGCCATTCAAACTTATCTGCAATATCCTTCCTTTCACACAATCTCATTTCATTCCCACATGTTGGACATACTTATCCACAATTAATCCTACACTCATACACCATTCAACCAATTCTTTTGGATTATCAGATAAATGCATTAAAAATTTAGAATTCACTTTAGATAGCGCCATGCAATCCAAAAATTAATCATCACTCTTTCACACAACACACAATGAAGTACTGCAGATACTGCAAAATACTATAGTACTGCAGATAGTTTTCCAAATTTTTCCCCCTTTTCCGATTAAAGAAATGTAATTCGTCCATTAACGTCACATGACATATCTCATGATCTCTCATTTCCCTCACACAAAATAATGAGTAATCGGAACTGAGTACTTCTCACATTATTCCCAAAGTCCTAGGTAGTAACCTTTATTGCCTCCAAAACGTCGCCAAACTACCTGTTACCATATTCCAAAGATTAGCCGGAATCTCTTCTAGCAGATTTGAATTCCATTTTTCTTCTCTTATCCCATGGAACTACAATTAATAATTAACAGAATTTTCCTCAGCTTATTAATTTTATTCTGCTCTTTGACTAAATGCTCCTATTTCTATATAACATAAGCACAAATTTCAAGGTTTACACATTACAACCACTATTACCTATAGAAATTAAATAAATTTTCCAAGTGCAATCAAATAAGCACAGTACAAAAAGAAAATTACAATTTATATTCCACAAAGCTTATACATTCAGAATCATCGGTCATATGGTTCTGGGAGGGGGGATTTGCTTTAACCAACATCCTTGTTGTTACTTCACGTAATATGACATACGTGGGTGAATCTGGAGAGAGCCTTAGCACGATTTTTAAAATCGCGTATGCAAGGTATCAGCAGATTTTCATCCAGTTCTGTATGTTAAGCAATTATACAGCTAATGCACATGTCAAATTTCATAATTTATGATGACAATATTTTCCTAAAAGCAATGAGAGAGTCCATTTGATTCTGTCATGACTATATAGTCAATTTCTCATCAAAAATAACATGCATAATGGCTTCAAGAACTAAAGAGAATAGCCTATGTGTTACAGAGAATTTTGTATATGTCAAAACATTTTCATTGTCATATTACATATATGTCATTTCATATTATTCATTTCATTATTATTTTCATATCGCAAAAAGAGTAAATTAATTAATTTACCATTTCAGAACAATTTTAACTAACTTAATGTAATAAATTTAATACAGAATAAAACTAAATTCAGGGCTTTTATTTACAACAAATCAACCATAATATACATATAACTTACTTCATACAGCTTTCACTGTTATTTCACTTCATTTGCTTCAACTAATAAGAATTTTTATTAAAGTATATATTTTAATAAGTTATTTCAGAAACAACTTCATAAAATAATCAACAAAACAACACCGCAAATATAATTTTAAGTGCTGGTAACTGATTTGCTTAACACAAAAAACTAACCACTTCATAACTTAAATGTTCTATATTGTACAACATAACTAAGATCTGGAATTTAAGAAATGACCAAACTTTAAAGACAACGCAAAATTACCAATACGGAACAACATATATCAGAAATGTAACATCTGCCAGAAAGATATGCCACTCTTCAATTGAAAAAAAGGACGAAACAAATTTTAGGTCACTAATTTAAGATGACATAGATCACAATTAGCATTAAAAATGTTTCTGTAAAATACTACTGATATTAACAAGATCAAGAAAAGTATGAAACATAAAACGATACTGAAAGAATCGAAAATTAACACACAACAGAAAATTATTTACTTAAAATTTATATTAACTTAGTTCGCAAAATATTTACATCAATCATCATAATGGCACTTCGCACATACGATTATCAAATAGTAGAAATTTCAGGTATGATCATACATTCATTTTGAACTTAAATTTAGAATAACTTTCATGTTGTCATATAAAAATCAATGATAAATAGGGTTATTTTCCCACCTGAACCTTCAATATGACCATACCTGTTCATTTTGTTCCTGTTCTTCAGCTGACATATTAGTTACACAGTTTCAGTCTTTACAACTCACGATGTGATGAAAAATAAAAAAAAAAAAAAAACTTCATAAAAATGGAAGAAAATGACCGAAGTTTTAATACGCTTTTATAACGTTTCAAATTGGCAGTCAAAAGTATTTTAACAAGTGGAAAAAGACTAGCAAAATATTTCAACTTATGAAAGATACTGGAAGCTGCCAGATATCAAAAACGATTTACACTTATTAACATTATTCATATATTATGAGCACACCAGTCTTTGGCTAAGTATTAGCATAAAATTTTACGCGAATCGTAAATTAAATTTTTAAACTATTTGAAAAGTACTTTTATTCAGAAATAAAATGCATTTCTTCTACTTGAAATAAATTTCATAATATTTTTATCTTACATTTTATTGTTTTTTTTAAACTACATTTCAGGCACCTAATTCTGAAATTAAAGCGAATCTATTTAAACTTTAAACTTAATCCTTCTGTAATATGCAGTATTAATCGGTACTTATCAAAATAGCACCATAAAAAGTCAGTTAAGTCTCAGTCAAAAAACCTATTTATCTATCAAACTTCTCTTTCCAAAGTTGTAAGGGAAAAAAATGACGTGTCTCTGCATTCAAATCAATATCTCACCGTCTTTCTTTCTACCAAATAAGCAATTTGGTAGAGAGAATAAGCAGTTTGATAGACTTTACATTAACAACAGAAAGCTTTAGTAGCAAACTGCCCATACTTTTGATATGCATTTGACTGCATCTGGCCTGGGTCCACCAGCGGCCGAGCGGTAAAGTCGCTGAACACTGGTAGTTCGGTCCGAGATTCGAATCCCGCGAACGGGCTGGCTGTATAGGCGTTTTCGTGGTTTTCCCCATGTGTAACGTGTATACGAGTCAGTTTCCTTAGAAAGTCCTCCACGAAGTCATCCCTTCCCTTAGGCAGATAGCCCTCGAGGGTTTGTCATAATCGCACACACACGCATCTTGCCTGGGCCTGATTAAGACTTACAGGCAATCAAAATATTTTGATGTCCTCATTTAAGCCAATTTTGTCTTCATTCTGTATCTCTTTTGTTTTTGGTTTAGCTGCATCATCGTAAAACATTCCAGTGCTTAATCTAGCCCTGAGTCTGGCCAACACCGACTTGGTCTGGCGCTCTGGTCTTATGCATAAATTAACCAAATGTGGAAAACATTTAAAGCAGGAATACCTAATGTCTCAAATGTTCTGCTGACCATTTTGGTATTTTCAGAGCCACTAAAAGCGTACATATTACTCCAACTCAGACATTTCCGATTAAACACTTTTAGAACTGAGTAAGTTCATTTGTAAATAGAACACGCAGTTTAGTGAATAAAGCAAAGAACCATAATAAAAAAATCGTTTGAAAATTCAGTATTTCATTTAATTTTAAATCTATTTTAAATTCTAAAGTTAATAATCTACCTTGTATTTCCAAACTGAGTAAAAAATTGTTTTCAAACACAACCCGCGAAGAAAGCTTCTAATTGGATGAACGGGCGGTATTTCGTATGTATGTTTGTGTACATGAAGAGATATAAAATTATAATACGTCAGTGTTTAAAGAACTCGGTATAATGCCTTTATGAGTGTAGAAAGTGAATTTGCGATGATTCGCTGTTAAAGTATATAACTATATCGGCTTTTCTTACTTATTTAGTAAAATAATTTTCCATATTGAAGTGTTTGTTTGGAGAATTCGTGTAACGGGAGATAAGATATTAATGCATAGAAAAATCTAGGCGTCAAAAGTAATGATCTGGTCCATCGTCATCGAATAAATTCAGTTTTTTTTTTTTCTCATCAATATGTAGTAGGGTTTTTGAGAGTAGATCTGTTAAATATCCATTTCATGTACTAAGACCGTTAACAATCGTCTTATGTTTAATTTGAATTGGTTATCACTAATATATAAGCAGTTGCGGATTGTTTACATCATAACCTTATTAAAAAGTCAAACGTAAAGGCATATAAAAACCCACATCATTTAGGAATTCGATGTTTATATGCAAAGCATGGTAAAAGTTTACAATTGGGTGCCCCTTGTTTTTTTGCGATTCTTTTTTGACGCCAAGATCGGCGCCAGGAAGACATAATTTCAAGATGGCCGCTACACAAAACCAAAATATAAAGTCAAAGAATTGCATAAACTCTGTGTCCATGTACACATCGATCTGTTTTCACTTAAAAAAACATCCCAGAATTGCACAAACTAGGCATTGCGCACTGTTTAAATTTGTCCATGTACACATCAATCTATTTTTATTTTAAAAAAATCTGGAGGCTAGAGCAAAGTTACACTATCATGGTAACCAGAAATAAGATTTCATCACCAAAATTTTACAAAAAATTGTCGCTAATCGAAGGGGCACCCAATTCTACACTAGAGCCTAAAGCATTTTCTTATAAATATTTTGCAGTATATTTAAAAAGAAAGAGCAACCTTATGCTGATTGTGTAAATAAGCCACACGTATCTTAGATCAGTATAAGATAATTAATCTATCACAACCATAATTAATTCATTGCAGTGTCTTACTTTGGGAAATAAAATATAAACTTTGCAAAGAACTCTATTCCTTTCCTCTAGCACAACACTGTGAATTAAATATGTTTAATCTAAACTTAAGTGTTTTTCAATAAGTAAATTTTATAATTTTCTTTTTCATGTAAAATTTATCTGTACGTTAAAGGTATCTGGCTGAATTAAATTATTTTTCATGAAAAGTATTTTCTTCTCTTTCATTAATGAATTATGGCACTATTATAGAATTAGTCTTTACTATTTTACTGTTGGTGTGACTGCAGGTCCAGGTGCAACACAAAATACTGTTTTTTGAATTAATAGTTTTTGATTAAAATATGAAAGGAACTGTATTTTTGAATTATATATAATGTAATGTAAGAGTAAAATTTTGTATGCCTATGTTATGTGCAAATGTCAAACTATTTTATTATTTTCAGTATTTGTTCTGCTTGTTTTATAGATATGTTATTTAAATCTGTTTATTATTATGTTTATTTGCTGTTGAAATCAGTTGAAAACTAAGCATAAAGATTTCTTTTATGGTGTAAAAAATGTTTCATTGTTTATGATGGCAGTAAATGTGTTTTGAAGCAATTGTTAGATGTCACTTCAAGTCTTTTTCAAGTGATGAATGTTGAACGAATTGAGTACAAGAGATTTTTGGCTAATGTATAATTTATGATATGTTTGACATTACTTTTGAATTATTTTTCTTTTAATTTTATTTAATTCTGAAAATGATGAAGTTAGTAACATAAATAAAACATAAGAAATATATACGATTTATCATTGTTTGTTTGTGTATTGGTCATTGAGTAACATGATGTCATGATATAACAATATCTTCAGTGAAGGAAATGCAGCAGAAAAAATACAGTGATCAATTTACATCATGCATAGTCATATCTCATCTACAGTTTAATATATTACAGGAAATTTTTTTAAATTGAAAAAAAAAAAAAAAAAAATGTAACTTTCTAAAAATGGCTGTATGGATTATTAATATATGACAGCTATAAGCATAAAATTTTATTTTACAAACATTTTTCAATGAAAATGGGCTATAACATGGTGAAATAGAGTTATTAATTATTCTCTGCCTACAGCAAAAATGCCAGACGTAAGCAAAAATATACATATTTGATTTGGACAGACCTGTCATTTCTTATGCATAATTTTTAGGCTTTGCCATTCCTGAAAATTTTTTGTGACCTTTATTAGTTCAAGTATTGTGCCTTTTCATTGTTCCAACATCTTTGAGTACTAAGTTAAAATATCAGAATCTGGTACTTTTCCTTTAGGTAGCATTAATTATTTTCCATTTTTGGTATTGTTTCTCATTAAAATAGTGTTCCTTTGTTTATTATTTTTATTTATTTGTTATCTTAAATTAACTGAATAAAAGTTATTTTTGTTTAATTTTTCAGGTGTGTTTTTTTTTTTATTTTTCCTGTCTATTTCAGTTGTTTAACCAATGGCTACATGTGAACAAATAAAGATCTTATTAGCAGATGAAATTTATGACAGGAAAAGGTTGAATTTTTATAATTAATGAAATCATACGTTGCATATCATAGTGTAAAGACATGCTAAAACTAAAGAAAAAAAAAACGTTTGAAACATCTTGTTAAAATTTTGCAATGTAGTATACAAAACAAATTTATTGCAAAAATGGAAAAAAAAATCAAGACTGAAATATAAAGTTTATTATTCAGAATTCTACATTTATTACCAAACGCAATCAGTAAACATAGTTACAAAAGGGTTTGTGTTTTTATCTGTTTCATAGCAATCACTTTGAGAAAGAATTCAAAGTATTGTTCCTTTCACAGTTTTGTGGAAAAAAATATGTATTCCAGCAGAAATTTTACCTTTCTTTCTTCTGTTATAGGGAAATACTACGAGCACAAATTTTAAAACTGAGTTTAGACAAATAATCTTAATTTTTTTAGAAAAGCCATTGGAACTTGAAAACACTAAAATGAACACATATGAAAATGATGATGTTGGAAACTGAGTATTTGTCATGCACATGGTTGCGCAAATAATTGTTATGTGTGTAGTTACCAGAGTTCAATGTATTCTGAAGCTTTGCTGATTTCTACAAAGGTGGTTGTGTTAATATTAGTTACCAAAAATGATTTTCCAAGCATATAATCTTGCTTAAATAAAACTAAAAAAAAAAAAAAAAAAGAATTCATTTACTATCAAGATTTAAAATTTCCTACTTAATATGGAGCAGAAGGTGGCAGATCCTGTTGATTATCCCTCTTCTCCATACCTTGCTGATTGAATAGGTGACTGAATGGCTTCAGTGTATAAAGAATTAATCTCTGTAGTCCATGTGAAAAGATTAAAACAATCGTTTTTCTTCTCATAGTAATAACTGAATGTATTAAATTAGATCTTCCCTTTTGCGTGGTATTCAACTGTATTCTGTATTGGAAATCAGCCACATTTATTTTTACTGTGGCATTATAATCAAATTAATTTTAATGAGACTTGTAAATAAAAAATATTTCGTAGTTTTCCCTTCAGCATGTTAAAGAAATAATGCACTGTAATTGTTGGTACAAGTCATAATCATCTTATTACCCAAACTGTGTTAAAAATAATGGAAGTCTGCAAATTTTTATTAATTATATCAAAATATAATACTATAAATCGTATCAATATGTTTTTTTTAACTAGGAATATATTAAACTGTCTCATATGTTTGTTATGGATGTAATTGTAATTATATGATATTTTAATTTTATATTTCAGGCAAAAAAAAAGTTATTTTTCTTTACAGATGGAAAAATTTATTTGTTCTTCCAACTTAGTACATTTATACTTCTAGTGTACTTGGATCAGTAAGAGTGAAAATTATTTCATTAAGTATTTCATGTGTACATTTTGGAAAAAACAAACATTTTAAAATTATATATACTTTACAATAAGAGATTATAGTTTGAAATTTAATAATTAAGGCTGGGTTAATTATCTGTGATTTATAATTTCAAAATGCATTGAATGCTGTTGATATTTGAAAATCACTACAGAACAAATATGTTTAAATTCAAAATTCTTTGTACCCTTTCCTCCACAGAGAAAAAATCTAAAAATGCAATTGTCAATATTTCACTAAAAATTATTTATTTAAATACTTAATCTTTAATATCTTGTTATTACTGAGAATTATTTATGAGTTCTTACATTATTTTATAGTTTATTTATGTCATGTCACACATACTGTATATCTCACACTACATATTTTGGTAACTGCAGGTTTTTATTTTAATGGCTACCCTCTTTCTTTTTTTTTTTTTTTTATATATTACAGAATGAAATAACATCTTTCTCCTAAAAAGATGAATAGCATTTATATATTCATTCATAAGCTTGGAAGTTTGGTTATTTTCTTATCAGTTTAATTTAATCCACATTAATAAATCCGATTATGTTCACCTTGTTATTACTTATGCAATTATTATTTTTTTTTAATATTTCCAGAAAACGTAACAAGACACTCTGTTCGTATACATACATGTTCATACTGTTCATATTCCTCACCATATGGAACCAATCTTAAAGTGCATTTGCGTGTTCACACAGGAGAGCGTCCCTATATTTGTGAAATATGTGGTAAAGGATTTACAAAGAAGCAGTCTTTGCAGCAGCATCATACATCAGTTCATTCTGGTGAACGTCCATTTAAGTGCTTTGTGTGCACTAAGAGTTTTACTCAAAAGCATGTTCTTAAATCACATATGTTAACTCATTCATTGGGTTACTGATATTTGTTCACAGTTTCTGCCTTTTTTTACTCTAATTAAAGGTATTTACTAATTATTTGGTATTTAACATGTTATTGCAACCACCTGGTCGTTTTCAGAATGTGCCAAACTGTGGCAACCATGCACATAACCATTCTTCAGAGAATTATGCTCATAACAGACCTTCAGTCAAGTAACATCACGATTTTATTGTACATTTCTTTTGTTTTATTCCAAGTACCATCAGTTCTTATAAACAAATCATGGTATTTTTTTGTCTTAAAATTAATTAAAAAATAAGCATTTACCAGCATTGTAAGAAACTGTAGTAAAATTTTGTAGGAATACACAGTTTCGCAGCAAAATTTCCAAATTCTCCAAATGAGGAGTTGCGTGTAGATAGCCGCTGTAGCTGCATTTGTGCATTTGTTGATTATGTGCAATTCTGTGATTTTTTTTTTTTTTTTTTTTTTTTTTTTAAATTGAAAACAGATTGCTATGCACCTGGGGAGAAGAATACTTCAAAAGAATTATAGAAAGACTTGGAGAAGAATGCAAGTATTTTTAATGTGTCACATTATCTTTATTTATTAATTAAAATATGCATTTTAAATTGCTGAAGTATGTTTTCCTTTCATGTGGTGAAAAGTTCGCCAACTTGCAATAAATATGGATTGTTTTAGGAATCTTTTTTAAAAAAAACAGCAAAACCCACCATCTTACACCCGAAAGTAACTTTTATGTTTTCATCTATTAAAAATCACCAAATTGTGTCAAGGTGGTTGCATTAATATATTAAATATCAAAATATTTTGTGAATCTAAAACTGATTGGTTGTTATAAGATTGACGGATATTAACCTAAAAATAAACTGTGTATAAATAAAATGCACGTAAACTACAAATATGATAAGATGCTGATATTTCATTAATGTATATTAATTATCTTATTATTTATTAAAAAATTAATGCACTCAACAACATTTTCTTGTTCTACATAATCTTTAGCAGGCTTTAGAATTTAAAGATTAAGAAAGAAGACAGCTGAGTATTAAATGTGAAACTCAGAACTTGTTTGAAACAGAAGGTGTTTTAAAAATTTTTTCTCAAAATTCATAGCAATCATTGCTTTAGTAGAACACTCATTATTAATTAAAATATGTAAATTTCAAAATTCAATATTTCAAAATTCGTATAAATTGTTTTATACCAAAACACATAATAATTATAATTTATAGGTCATATAAAAACTTTCAAAATACCTAAAGGCTTCTATTATTATTATTTCAAATCCTCATTCTAGTAGTATGAAGCAGTTTTCAAACCACTATGTATTCCTGTACCTATTCAGTACGACTTACCTGAAAAGTTTGAAATCCTAGGTGCATTGAGCATCAAAGATTTTTGTAATATCTTGAAGGATATCTCTTTGAGATGCTTGTTATTTTCAGTTCATGGATTTTTTGTTTTTATAAAATAGGAAATGCATCTAGCAAGCTTTATGTGGAAGTAATCTTGTGAAGAAATGTATTGCTTTTTGAATAGTTAAATCTTTCCTTTGTAAAATAAACTTCCAATTGTTTACATAGAGCTAATTTGTAGTAAAAGAATATGATAGCAATTTTTCCCCCTGCTGTGCCATTTCAAACAGCTCATTTAAGTTAAGATTTTATAAGTAAGATTAAATAAGATTTTATATTCTATATCTTTAATTTCTATGGGATTAATGCTTAAATTAGTATGCTTATCTTGAAATTTTTTTTCAAATGATATACTCAAATCTAAATAGCAAGATCTGATTGCAATTTGTTTAATTTTATATATTTAATTTTCTTTTTTTTTAACTTCTTAAAATGTTAGACTTTATTCCAAAGGATCACACTTAACCCTTTGCGGCGCACTATACGTTAACGTCGAAATTTCAACAAAAAAGGTTGTATGCAGTCTATTTAGTCCTAAAGGAGTGTACAGGTAAAATTTTGTAAAAGATGCACTTACCGTTTTAATTCTGTAGGTGTTCCATGAGGTGGAACACTGCACCGCCAGAGCTTTTAAAAGTGCGACTAAGCGAGCATTGCAGTGAAGCACGAAAATGAGCAGAAGCGTTTGTATGAGAATGAAAGAACTCTGTATTATGGCTGTATACATGGTTTCCTGGATATACACAATATTCTTGAATATATACGGATAAATGAGATAAGTATCTATATACACAAATCCTATATACAAAAATATGTACAAATTTTCGGAAAGAGAGCTTCAGAAAGAGACCTTTCCACGCCATTTATGGAAAATTAATAATAAAAAAATTAACTACGATTAATATTAACAATTAAGAAAAATAAGCCTATGATATATACATACACGAAAAATATATACACAATTATTGAAAATAAACGGGAATGAGACTAAAAAGCGACGGCAAAAAATTCGCACAGGTCTAAGTAAAGATGAGGCAAGCTACTAATAAAATTCCCGCCTAAAAACTAGTCTAAAAAAATTCGAGATGCCAATATTAGGGCTTTAATAACACAAAACACACCTCACTCCTCAATACTGCTTTGTTTGAATTCATTCCCTCCCAAAGCAACGGAAACAGAAAACTTAAACAACGGATGTTCTCTCCTAAGCACAGATGTTCTGATTCGTAACAGCATGAGATCGCTAAAGGCGCAGTGTTCCCGCTAATGGAACACCCGGGTGTATTCAATGATTCTGTGTATGGTTTTTGTCTGAAAGATTAAAAAAAATATAGAACAGATAATTTGGAGTACAGCCAGCAAAATTATGCCTAATTTTTTTTCCAAATAAAATGTTTTATATCATTAAAAAAATAGAGAAAATTACTTCAAAAAAAGTGGATTTTAATAACACATAATAAATGAAAATTCTGTCTCCTTGTGATATGCTGCTATCTACTGTTTAAAAATAAAAGTTCAAATTATATTATTTTTTATCTCATTAAAAAAATAGAGAAAATTACTTGAAAAAAAGTGGATTTTAATAACACATAATAAATGAAAATTCTGTGTCTCCTTGTGATATGCTGCTATCTACTGTTTAAAAATAAAAGTTCAAATTATATTATTTTTTATATCATTAAAAAAATAGAGAAAATTACTTGAAAAAAAGTGGATTTTAATAACACATAATAAATGAAAATTCTGTGTCTCCTTGTGATATGCTGCTATCTACTGTTTAAAAATAAAAGTTCAAATTATATTATAAAGGCATTTTTATCTATTTATGGTTGAATTTAAAGGTTTCAGAAGCAATTCAATTGGGGTATTCCATGTAGTGGAACACTAAGCCGCAAAGGGTTAATTCTTTATGAAAGTTATTAACTTTCTAGATCATATACTCTCAACAGTTCGAATGTATACAAAAGAAATTCAGCTATCTGTATTAATTTTAAAATTAATAAAATGCTTCTTTTTCTTCCTAAGAGCAACAAGCTAAATTTCACCTTCACTTCTCCAGTTCAGCTTAATGTTTTGTAAAAATTTGTGCTAGTGAAGTTTTAGCTAAGCTTGTTATGTGATTTTATAACACCCTGATATGTTATATAAAATATTCCTGAGCTGATTTCCTACATTAATGTTGTTTCTTCATCTTTTATGTATGCCTTCCCCTCCTTTCAGTTGACAATATTACACTAGAAAGATTAAAATCTGATATTTATCTTGCCTGATAGCATATTTCTTCCTTCTAAAGATGCTTGCCAACTTAGTTTTGCTTTATATGTTGTGAAGCAAAATTGCATCTAAAATTTGGCTCTCATGTAGCACCAGACTTTCTTAAATCATTCTGAGACAAGGCAGTTAAAAAAGTATTTGCTTGCTCCATAATCTTATTCAAACAAGTAATATGTTTAGGTTTTCTTTATAATTATTTCATCATAGATTACAGTGAAGTCACCCAATAGATTCATTTGCTCTAAATGATGACAATCTTTTGCAAGGTCCTCTCAAGTAGTATAGTGGTAGAGGAAGAGGAGTGAGTGAACCATGGATCCATCCACGGGGATATTCTCTTTCAAAATTGACACAGACCTTCCCCTTTTTCATATGGGTAATTTAGTTGTTGCCATTGATGCACCCTAGGCAATGTTCTCAATGATGAGATGGTTAAATGATTATTGGATATTGGCCATTTTTCAACAAATATAAGAAGTAAAGTATCTGTGCGTTAGAAACAATAAAATTGTGGCAAAAGTGGCTAGCTTACGCATATGTAGGAATATAACGGTACCCTGTGTATTAAAAATCCGAGTTTCATTTTGGCATTGCATGCTTTTAACTTGAATCGTATTTTTGCTCTGAAACAATGTAATTTACTTTTTAAAACAAATATTTCTTCCAGTGGTTATTAAGTTCTCAAATGTGAGAATTGGTGAAGGAAATTTAGATTGTTGTAATTTTCCTTACAACTAATTATTTCCTCAATTTTGTTGCATATTTTGATTTCATTTTGAATTATCCCTCTTGTTTTCATAATTCACTTTTAGATAATCATGTATGTTTACAAATAGCATTTAGATTATTTTTAAGTATTGTTTGTCAATCTTTAAAAGTTCAATTCTGAAATTTAAAAAAATTGTAAATTGCAGAAATTGTACAAAACGTACTATTAGTATTGTTTATTTTAGTTTGCTGACAGAAAACAACTGACATTGGTTTCTCTTTATGTACTTTTTTTATACGTGCAAAAATGTGATGTATGTTTTGCCATTATTTTAATCCTTATGTGAATAGTTTACTAATAATACAGTTGTTTTATTCATGTACTAAAAATTTCTACTAATCAGTAGAATTTTTTTTCAACTTAACTTGCTGCTTGCATTCCATAATTGTTCAAAAAGTTGACAAAAGCACAGACATTTTTCATGTTTTATTTAATGCAAATAAAATCACAAATTGGCTATGTCAGTACCTGTTTTCTAAAACACAAACTTTGTAAGATTCTATGAATAAAATCTCCATATGAAACAATTTATATGTATTAACATTTTTCA